TATTATTGTTGCTTATAATTGTTGTCTATAATTTGTACAATTAACCTCCTTGTGGTTCGACCCCGGTCTTGCCGGGTTATTTATTACTTCGACACTCCTGCACTTGGGAGAAGACATCAATCTTTTAGTCGTGTCACTTATATTATTAGATATATTATTATAAAACATGCTTTAGTTAATGAGCTATTGATATTTCAAGTGCAAAATAATGATATAAAACCTTGATAAAAATACACTTTTAAGTACTAATCAATCCTCATACATCAAAATGAATCAAGTCAAATGGTAAAGAAGAAACAACAATACTTTGCATAAACTAGAAGATAAAGGACTCAAATGAAAAGAAGACAAATCAACAGTAGTAGTAGCAGCAGTGGAAACTGACACTTTCAACTCATCCAAAATAGATAGTCCATTCTTTCTATGGCCTATCCCAATTAGCTTCTGAGACTACAGATCCGATACATAAAAAAAAACATAAAATAAAAAAAATAATCAACATAATCATATTATTGACCAACAGAAGCAAGATTCAATATGAGGTTTAAAATAAGATAGATATTAGAAAAAGACAAATGAGGTATGACAACAAAACTAACACTTACTAAGAGCATGAGAATGCCATTAGCAGTCACAATAAAAATAGGGGATGAAAGGGAAATATAGGTAAAAGATAAAGAATCTAAAAACATATGATGTAAAGCACCAGAATCCAAAACCCATTCAAAATGTAACATACTTGAAAAATTATGAGGTAACTAACCTATAGAAAAAGAAGTAGACATTACTTATGGTTGCAATGAGAGAAAATTTTAAAAGTATTCAACCAAAGTATTAGGATCAATAATAGAGCCTGAGGAAGCTACTGCTGCGGTACTGACCAAAGTATTAGGATCAATAATAGAGCCTAAGGAAGCTACTGCTGCGGTACTATGGTGTGGTGGTTTATAACCCTGAGATGGTCTATAAGCATTCGATTATGATTGGTTGTTAGGCTTCTAAGTTTGATTCTGTTGTTTCAACTTAGGACATTGAGCCTTTCAATGACCTTTCTGCTTACAGAAACTGCACTAGTCAAAGCCAACCCTTATTTAAAGCTTATGGTGGTGACTGGAGAATTGTTTAGAGGGTACACCTATTACAGAAGGATTTGAAGCAGAAAGAATACCCTTTTCAGAATACAATTGAAAATATATTTTTTCAGCCAATAACTCACTGGCAACCAAGTCACCAAAAAGTAGTGGAGAGCAATACAGCATTGAACCTCTAAATCCTTTGAAATCACTACAAAGTGCTGTTAAAAACTATACCAATCATCACTACTCTTTACACTTAATATAAACACTATAGGCCTTTAAATCCATCAATTCTGTAAGAAACACTTAATATAAACACTATAGGCCTTTAAGTCCATCAATTCTGTAAGAGCCAATTGATCCTAAAGATCTATTATGATAGAACATAACTCCTGAATACTTATATTCTTTTAGTGAAGAGCTCGTATGTCATTCTTTAACTGATACTGCTTTGCAAAATTTGATTATGTGAATAACCTTTGCAGATGATCCCAAACCTCTTTTGATGTCTCACACTTTGCCAACTGCGTACCTATAAAATGCCCAACAGAATTGTTGATCCAAGTAATGATCTTTTCCTTGTTTGCTTCCAGTGTATTTACCAAAGCAATATCCCCTTCCTCAGTATTTTAAAGGACCATATAAGTTCCACCGACATATCCCCACATCTTTTTACCCTTAAGAAATGTTCTCATTACATAACTTTAATACGAATAGTTCTTTCCATCCAACCTCACACTAATAGACTAAAGTGAAACATTTTTTTCTATAGCCATAATCAACAATCACAAAGAACCATAATGCAAAAATAACAAAAAATAAAATATTAAATTGCAAAAGCTGAATAAAGATTGCAAAAACTAAATAGATATCTTCTTGAAATTATACGATTACTCCAAAACACAAAACAAATTTGCAGAAATTAAAAGGAAATACCAAATTACAAAAGCTGAAGGGAAGAAAAAATACCAAAATAATTGCATAAACTGAACGCAAATATCAAATTACAGAAGCTGAAGGAAAGATGAAATACCAAATTTTTGCAGAAAATGGAAGACAAAATGTCACTCCATATAAGTTAAATATGCGAAAACTGTGTTCGGAATTAAGCCTTATTCCATAAAACTAGCTCTGATACCATATTAAAATAGTTAAGATCAAACACAAAAAGGGGGTTAGAATTCTCAATAATCTATTTATTATGAATGCTTAATGTTAACCTAAATACAAAGAAAGTTTATATAGGTTAAACTGAAAATATTATTCTACCCTTAATAAATAAGACTACATAAATATTATTTAACGATAATAACAACTACTTTTTTTTATTTAATACAACAAGGTGTCTTTATATCAAAATTATACTAAAATTGTGTTGTTTTATGTTATAAATTAGTTAAATTATGAAATGATGAGATTGATTTTTTAGATACCACAAGTAAATATAATTATGTTATAATTATAATATCTTCAAATAAAATGATCAATTATATGTATAAATTTGATGTTGTAAACATCTCTCTTATAAGCTCCCTAATAAAGCCCAATATATTGGTTAAACTTTGATAAGGATAAGAATAAGGATTGATATTTTTTTATCCAAAGTTATTTTGAAGAAAAATTCTTATCTTATTATGAAAAGTGAAATAAGCTTGTCCAATAGAAAAAAATAGTTATTTCACATATTTTTATATCATTTATCACTTATTTGTTTTTTTTCTTAATTTAGTAGATTAAAAACAAGATGTACTAAAATGGATATTTAAATGTAGGGTCTAAATTATAAAAGAATTTATTTAAAGACTAATTTGTACTTACCATAAATTCTAGAGGACCAAAAAATTCTAATAAGGACTAAAATATAATTAAAAAATATAAAAATACAAATAAATTGTTGAAAAAATCTCAAAGATTAAAATCAACCTTTTTCAAAAAGTTTCCTTGTCATGTCCAATGTACATCAAACATAACAAGAAGAGAACTATTATGTTTATTTTAGTGTAATAAAGTCCATGATATTATAAGGTATTAATAAAAATTATATAAATTATATCTTGATAGTTTAGTTAATAGTTTAAGCTATTAGATTATATGAATTTTTGATATGGTATCAAACTTTTATTGATCAAATATTCTTGAGTTTGTATCCCATCATTCTTATTCTATTAGATAAAAATAAACATAAGATCATATAAGTCTATGTAAATTTCAAATCTAAAAAGTTTTAACTTTAAAGAGTGTATTAAAAATAATTATATAGATTATATTTTGAGATCTCCCCCAACAATTTAAATTATTAAGTGAGATAGTTCTTTAATATAAATTAGAATTTATTATTTTGATAAAATTTATTTTTCAAAATAGTTTTTGTTTAGAAATTTATTAAAATAATATATTTTAAATTTTTAAAAATTTATTTTTAAAATAAACATATCAAAACAATTTAAAAATATTAAAAAAATTAATTAAAGAAAATTCCACGTTTTTACCAAAGAAACACTACCTAAACTTCGTGGCTTTCTTTGCCTCTTATTACCATATTTGATCATGGACTTTTTCGCATTCACTGTGTTCGACGATATTATAATCTTACGATGTCCAGTTGCGTTAGAGAGCAATAAACGCCAATTAACTTGAAGAGGGCCCTCTTCTACCAGCTCTGTACTGTTTATGTCATTTTCACTTTAGCTGAAAAATATAATCTTAATTATTAGTTTTTGCTTCTGCAACTCTTGCTTGGAGAATCAATCATCCTGTACAGTAAAGGGCTTGCATGAAAGTCGTTTACATTGAAAGTCTAAGCTGGACTGCTGCTGGTTAGGGTTGCAGGATGTTTCTAGGAGGTTGGAGTGTTGCCATGGTTATGATAAAAAATGTTTTTTTTTATTAAAAATATATTAAAATAATATTTTTTATTTTTACAAAATTATTTTTGATATTAAAATATAAAATACAAAATTTATTTTTTAAAAATTTAAATTTTCACTTACCGACTACCATGTTGTGAGCTTATGGTTTTGTGTGTGTGTGTGGGGTGCAATTATCAATGCTGTCGTTGTTGTGGTGGTCCATTCATTATTTAAATATCTGTATCAATTCGATTTGAAGCAATTCAGGTGACCTACATTTAATGATTGGGAACTGTCTTTTTATTCTGGGAAAACAGCTCAATAATATATGTTTTCAGGGTCCATTTCCTTACACTTTTCGGATGAAGTTTTGATCATGGCCCTAGGTAAATGGTTGTGGGTTTCTTCGTTGTATTTCCATCCTAATGAGCTTAGGGTTCCATGCTCTTCATTGCACGTTTCTAATAAACTTTGCTTATATAGTAAATTCATTGCACTGATTTAATTCTACAAGGAGAGTTGCAACATATAGGATAAACAAGTAAGAGCAGGGAAATATTAACTCGGTGAAAAATTTGACTTTTCCAACACTTTTTTGCAAATAGTAGTGGTGGACAAGTAGTATTTTCAGTTACTTGAGCTAGTTTCTGCTGCATCTTGTAATTTGCTGTAGCTTTTGCTACTTTATGAGCCTGCAAGAAGGCAGTAGGGAGTAAGAAATTTTAGACCACAGAAAATTGAAGATCCAAGTAATAGGTAGTGGTTTACTTATGAAGTTTAAAATCTCTGAAGCAGAAGTTCCAGGTAGGTTGGAAAAGCACTGAACATGAATAAAGACAATTTGATGCATAATAAAGAATTAAAAAGATTTGAATAAACTATTAATTTTTCCTTGTAAAAAAAGTGTTGGATTGGATCTCATGAGGTCTATCGAGAGACAGGATAACAAGTTTACAGATGGTGGTCAGGCATAGCCTTTTCAATTAAATATATATTGATGAGCAGTTCAGTGAACAGGTTGTTGGCCTAATGATCAGCTGGGAAAGTTAATTGACCACAAGAATCTGACACCTCACGAGTTTCCCATCCTCACTTTCTTGGATTATTCTATGGTCCCATATTGCCAAGAATTTAATGACGGTGCAGAATTTGATGGACTATTATTCCCCATGGAAGATATCCTGAAAGATCAAAACTCTACATTTCCAGTTTCCTGGCTTAAAATGATACTGCAGGCAGCACTTGTATGATAACTACTAGCACGTTGACAGTAATCTTAAATGTTAGAAGCAATAATTAAATGGTGTTTAAAATCAGGGATACAAGCTGTGATGGGATTAGTTTGGTTTGATAGGTGAAAGTTAGCGGTGAATTACCTTGAGCTTCTCACCGATGCCTTAGTTACTGTTTCCACTTGACCTGTAATTAGGGAATGGAACCCGACCAGACTCAATTTCCCTGACATCCCTGATGAGAATTTCATAGTGCCTCTGCACTTCCTCTGCAGATTTGCCACCCACAGCTTTGGCAACATTATGCCAGCGGTCAGGGGTGTCCTTGTCATACAAAGCCAGGGCCTTTTCGAATAGTTTGTTTTGCTTGGGGGTCCAAGGGGAACTACAGTTACGTGAAGAGTTGAGAGAATTGGATGACATTAGTGAAAAAATCGAGTGCAGTCCTATCACTTTTGAAGGTAAAGGGTGTTGACAGGTTTTGGGGGTTGACTGGGAAAAAAAAAAAGGCAAAAAACTAGCTCAGAACCCCAATATGCTTGAATTCCACAAGAGAAAGAGGGCAAAGAGTTTGTTAAGTCAAGGAAGATGACTTGGAAGTAAAGGGAAGGTATGAAGGAGGGATCACAGAGAGAGCTCCTTATAAGCAGGAAAGTGTAGTGGGGTAAAGACAGTTGGGAGAACATATCTTCCAAAAGAGCAGAATATAGCGTGACTCGTCCACTTAAGAACCACATGATGAAGCAGGACAAGGAACAGCGAGTGAGGGAAGAATCGGTATCAAAGGACAGGCTCTTTATTTTCGTAACCAAACAATATTCTGGGTTTTTATCATTGGCAAGTGGGATTTCCCTTTTTTTACTGGTCGGTGGATGCTAAGATCAGATGTTCCATGTAATGTAATTATAGATGGAGCCATTTTACAACCTGTTGTCTTCTCACAATGTTATGATTACGTTCCTCTTTGCTCTGCTGTTAACGGTGGCAATTCAAGACATGATCTCTCTTTTAAACGAGAAACATGGTACTTTTATGTCGTCTCCAAAGGGTACTTTGTCGAATGGAAGCTCAAGCAACTTGTGTAGGAATTCCTACCTGGAATTTCTGAGACAGAGAAGTGGAACATGTAGTTATTTCCAATACTACGTGTATATTTTCTGTCAATTAAAACCCTATGCTTGTGAATGGATTCTTTTTCATGTCCTTGTTAGCTGCTACTATTAATAGCTCTGGATGGCTTGTTGGAACAACATTTACCACCTTGTTTGGTCGCACAATCATTGGAGCTGAGCGCTGAGAACTTTCAGCAAGTAGGGCTCATTGTCCTTCTATGGGAGTGTGGTAGCTGCAGTTACAATAAACATAGGTTTGACTCTCCCAGTTAGGAAGGAAAACGCCTTTCCCTGTTGTTGCTTGATTCTCAGATAATTCTATCAGTATTTGTTGCTATAATACCTTCATACAAATGAATATTTCCAATCTAACCAGGGCCTCAAGGATGTGTCTGTGCGTGTGCGCTAGTAGATTGAGTTATCACAATTTTATTTTGTGACTGTGGGAGCAGGAAGACAGACACCCTCTTGAGCTTTCCCCTCTTCCCTTTTTCTTCCCAGTTCCCTCGGGGAAAAGCCAGAGGGGGTGGGGCGGTATTTTCTTTTCAATTTTAATGTCGATTTTGACATGATTAATATGTTTTTTTCGCCATTGTTCAAAGATTGAAAATGGTAAAGGAATTCCCTTTTCATTCTTAAAGTCGATTTTGACATCAATTTCATTTGTATTTGGAATGTAAAAAAAAGTTTACAAGAATAGGCCAAATAGGAAAAATTAGATCATTATGGTATAATGTTTTTTTGTTGTAAAACAATTTAAATTATATATAAGTTAACTTCACATCATTTAGTTAACTTAATGAGTTTAAAGATAACTTGGATAATTGTAAAACAATATAATTTGAGTAAAAAAAATTAAAACTGAACAATTTAAATTATATATAAGTTAACTTCGTATCATTTAGTTAACTTAACGAGTTTAAAGAAAACTTGGATAACTGTAAAACAATATAATTTGAGTGAAAAAAATTAAAACTGTTTTTTTTTTTAAATATTAAAATAAAAACATATTGGATTGACTTAGATCAACCTAAGTTACTTTATCAAATCTGTGATCCAAATCATGAAACCAGAATAACCTCATGAAAAGCAAATAAAAATAAAAAATGAAACTTAATTCCCAATTAAACCAATGTTAAAGGATGAAATTAAAAAAAATCAATTAAAAAAGACCAAAAATCAACAACTCAAGTTAACTCGAATTAATCTGTCAAAGTTGCAACTCAGGTCATGTGATTAGAATAAATTTATAAAAAACAAATTAAAAAAATTATAAAACATAATTTCTAATCAATAGAATATTGAAAGATGAAAATGAAAAAAATTGATTAAAAAAAATTTGAGTCAATCTAGGTCAATCTATCAAACTTATGACCTAGTTAATGAGACCATAATAACCTTATAGAAAAAAAATTAATTCTAAATCAATCAAATTTTCAAAGAAAAAATTGAGAAAAAAATCAAGTAAAAAAAGACAAAAAAAACCCGAGTTAACCCATGACTCGAGAAAAGAAAATTCAATGTTGAAGGATGAAATTAAAAAAGAAAAAAATGACCTTCACCCCGGATTAACTCGTAAAACTCATGACCTGGGTAATAAGATCAAAGATAACTTTATAGAAAGCAAAGTGAAAAACAAATTATAAAGCCTAATTTTAAATTAACCAACTATTAATTCATAAAATTGAAATAAATAAATAAATAAATAAAAATTATACATGAGTTAATCTGTTAAACTCGTGACTCGGGTCATGAGATTAGGAAAATCTCATAGAAAATAAATAAAAAATGATCTGAGTTAAACTAGTTGAATTTGTTAAACTTGCGACCAAGTTCATGAGACTGTGATAATTTTATAGAAAGTAAATAAAAAAAATTATGAAGTCTAATTTTAAATAAACTCATTGTTGAAGGTTGAAATTGAAAAACAAAATCAATTTAAAAACAAGACACAATAAAAAGACCTGAGTCTACAAGGGTTAACTCATAAAATACATGATTTAAATTATAAAAATAAGATAACCTTATAGAAAGCAAACCATAATAATCAATTCAATATTTAATGATAAAAAAGTATGCAATTAAAAAAATACAAAAAAAAAACTCAAGTCATTCAAGTTAACTTGTCAACCTATGACATGGTTTATAAGATCATGTTAACCATATATAAAGTAAATCATACTAAACTAAAGTATGAAATTAAGGAAAAGAAAATCGAGGGGAAAAAAGAAATAAAACATTATTGAATTAAATCACATTTTATGGAGAAATAAATAGTAAAATCACCCTAGTAGATGTATTTGATATTATGGTTACTGTTGTGATTGTGGTTTGAAAAAAGTTATTTTATAAAAAATACTTTTAGTTGAGGCTCAGTTGGAAAAATATATGTTTGGTTAAAACTGTGGTTAAAATTAAGATTGAACAAAAAGTAATTTAATATGTTTGATTAAAAAAATACTTTTCAAATTGAGGTTGAACAATAATATTATATATATATATATTAATGATTTTTAATTAAATATTATAGATTTAACTACTGTTATTACATCATGAAATAAATAATATTGATATTAAATATTTTTTATTATTTCATTAAACTATATGCAATTTCATCACGTATGAAATCTAATAAACAAGGACCATATATTTTCCATAGTTTCTTAAACGCGTAATAATAAAAACTGAATTTTTTGTTACATCATCAAGCAATCTCCTTCTAATTTTTTAAATAAAAAAATAAAACACAATTTTTTTCACTATAAACGGTGTTAAATAAATAGCATTGTTCATGTGAATAGGTGAATTAATTTACTGGACATTGTTCACTTCATGTGAATTATTCACTCTTAAAATGAACAGTGCCCAGTTGAATTAATTCACCTGGGCATGACACAGCCAGCCGCATAGAGTTCCTTCTCACTAAATAACATTTTGTAACAGGCCTCGTATATATAATAATTCATGTTTCATGGTTACTAAATATATTATTTACACGGTTTGCTTTAAAGCAGCCGCAGCTGCGTAAACAACGGCTATTAAAAAAAATAAAATATTTTAGTGGAATTAAGAGTTACAAAATTGTTTTCATTGTTTATTTCCATCCTCATATAATTATTCTTAATGAATATACTCGGTAATAAATAAGTTGATTACATATAATATTGATTTTACTCATATAAAATATATTTATAATTAATAAATGTTTTTTATCTTAAATATTCATTTATATTTAATTAATAAATATAATATTTAATGAATGAATCTAAAATTAAAATAAAGTTCATAAAACAAAAATAATTAACATAGAAAATTATAAAATTATTATAATTATGATATCTATATTATATCAAAGCATTATTTGTAAATGTTCCTTATCAATATTCTATTAAAATTGAACATTAATTAGAGTGGTTGAAACCGGTTCAAATTATATTTCTTTTTTTATAAAAGAAAAAGATTACTCTCATAAACTGAAATGTGAGGGATACTTGAAACTAATATACAAGTGCTTGTTAGATAACTTGTATAATGACCTAACTCGCAAGAGAATTTCATATAGAAAAATCACTTATGTATATGGGAAAACTCATGTTATAGTTATGTAAGTGATTTTTAGACTTAAATCACTAAGTTATGTAATAGTTATGTAAGTGATTTTTAAACTTAAATGACTAAGTTATCTTATATGGAGAGTATTATACTTTGACCCTTACCACATGTTATTCTAATTAAGGATAACAAACAGAAAAATATTGTATATCATATAAACTATATAAATCTATTTGAGTAATCATGAGATGATTCATCATCCTAAATGAATCAAGAAAAATATTTCATATGTTCTCAAATAGTATTGATTGTGAATTCTTTAGTCAAAGTGAAATGAGATTTAAAAAGAGTTTTCAAATCTTATTCAAATAATTGATAACTATAGTATTGAAAATAAAAATAAATTAATAAAGCAAATATGTTTCATGCTATAATATCTAAATCAAAACATTCTTGATAAAGGAATAATAATTAAATTGAAAAACTAGTTACTGAAATGTTAAGTCAAACTTCTAATGACTTTTCTAGTATTTAAGGAATCATCACATGTTGCTAGACATTGTACTTAATGTTGAAATATAAATTAATTAATTGTTGAATTGATAATAAATTAAATTCCTTAATTTACTTAATCTTATTTTATTTAAGATTGTGATTTATATTTAGGTCAACTTATTAAATAATTTAATGGGTTACACATATAAGAACCATTGGTCATAAATTAAAATAGGATAAATAATCAATTGTGACTTAATTGGAAATAAAACGGAGGACTAGAATGTAATTAATACAAGAGATTGCAATTTTAGACCTAGAAAAAAATCAAGTAGGGTCTAGATTGAATAAATTTTTAAAATTATCCTGAAATAATATATGTGATATTATTTAAGGAGAAAATTGATATTTTATCATTTATATAGTTTTTATATTTTTCTATAAATAGAATGTTGTACCTTTTATTTATTTTTTAAATATAATAGTACAACAATACAATACAAAAATAACTAAACACAGAACAAAAGAGCTAGCATTTAAAAGTATAATGATTATTCTTTTCTAAAAAGATTTAAAAGATTTCTAACTAGTAGTTTGTATGAATTATTATTAAAGGCTAAATATTTAGATAACTTGTGATGTACGACAACTTAGCCTTAAAATAATTGTTGAAAATAAAAAAATATTTAATTTTTAAATAATCTTTATATAAATTTGAAATGTATCTAATAAAATCTTTACATCTCTCAAAAAATTTTAAATTTATTATTTGTGTAATGCGTAAATGAAATGAGGAAACCAACAATTATTTCTTTTGTTTGTTTGTTTGTTCACTTTTTGTAGCTTCATCTCAGTACACGAGCGCCCAGTCCTCCTGCACCTTTTTGTGGCTATTAACTTGCTTCATCATCCAGCTGTTTGGTGAGTTATTGATGGTACCATTCAAGGTGGTTTTTCTGTCAATGTTCATTTAACTGGACCATTTTACAATCTAAAAAGATCTTGTTCCTGATAGTTCTTATATGCCTAATTAGTTCATGTTTTCTTTTTTCTTTTTCTTTTTTTACCACAGTACACAATTTTTAACTCGATGCTTCCACTTGCACCAAAATTAAATGAATTTCTTACTGGAAAGTGGAAAGTAAAAAAAAGAGCCCATCGTTCGTTACGTGAGGTATATGATCAGCTTGAGATAATAATGTCTTGGCAGATGCCAGATACTGAGGACCTCATTTGCCTGCCAAGCAAGTTGCCTCTCAACCTTTTGCAAGTGGAGCTGTCCTGTCTTGTTTCACAGCAAAGAACCAGAAATTTCTTTCTGAACCAAAGAGTACGGAAATTAGATTTCTATCTACATCCCCATGCTTTGTCTTATTAGGCTGTTCGTTTTAGTTGATAGCCAAGTAATATTATGTTTTATATTTTCTAAAGACCAGCGCTCTAAGTTATTATTTACGAGGGATAAATTCTTCCATATCTCTTGAAAAGGTAAGCAAATGGCATTGAACGTACCGGATGTTTGAACTCCCTGCCTTTTACGAGCGTTGAAGGGCATTTCAAATGTCCAGCAGGTTCATTTTATAAATGCCCTTCAACGCTCGTAAAAGGCAGGGAGTTCAAACATCCGGTACGTTCAATGCCATTTGCTTACCTTTTCAATGACTTGTAAGAGATATCGAAGAATTTATCCCTCGTAAATAATAACTTAGAGAATAAACCTGCAGGACATTTGAAATGCCCTTCAACGCTCGTAAAAGGCATATATATACTTGCCACGAGTTTCTATGGCAGCTATTATCTATTATTGACACTGTCAAGGGAATCCCTATATATTATGTTTGTAGTACATTATCTTTTCCGGTATTTGGAATCCTTATCACCACCTTATTAACACCTTTCCGAATGCGAGGTTTTGTGAGTGTAAGACGTCGTCTCCAGCCACACAGAGCCTTTAGAGAACATGTGATTGCTAACGCTGGAGCTCTTGCTTATCGGTCGCAAATCAAGAGATTGCATAATTAAGCAGGCGAAGTGCAAACCACTTTTCTTGAGAAAGAGAGCAAGTGGCCAAAAACATAATACTACTGATACCCGAATCTGCTTCTGGAAAACACAAGGATCTTCAGTGATCTAGTTTCCCAGCTATAAGCATACAGGAATGTGAAGAATAGATACCTACAGGGTAGACTTTAGAGTACTGGGCGTATCTATTGTAGTCTATGGATTGGACAAATTAAATACTGTGATTACGTGAAATAGCAAGCAAACCATATAAGCTCCAAGAGATAGAAGATGTGTGGCTTGAATTATCCGGATAAGATACGATGCATATTCTTGTGATCTTGACCATAGCTTCCAGGGCTTCTGTTCTGAATGTAAGGTCTTGCACTCTAATCTCTAGTCTGGTTTCTGTCTTATAGCCTTCGGTGAAAGATCATGTGGGGCAGGGAATTTTCCCAGTTACATCAACTGTCTAGCTGCATACCCCTGGTCTAAAAGCCTCTATATTCTTCTATTTTCTCATAGTCATTATAAAACAATTCTGAATCATGCATGAATTTCAACCCTCTTTTTATTTATTTAAATAAGTTGAGAGGCACGACTTGAACTTGAGATCGGCATATTCCATTATTTGTGTCGGTGATAATAGCACATTACTTTCCGCAGGCAATCAAGGTAACAATCAACTAGAAAATCATTCCTCGTATCAAGGATCAATTCATAGAAATCAAGATATTATGAGGAGTTGATTAGTTGTGCATATAGAATCTTAAATAGCTTTTCTTATAGAGTTGATAATGTTATTATTACTATTATTATTATTATTAGATTGTAATAGTTAAAAATCAGATTGTATTTGATACTATTATTATTATTATTAGATTGTAATAGTTAAAAATCAGATTGTATTTGATACTATTATTATTATTATTAGATTGTAATAGTTTTCTATATAATGCAACATTCTACACCATAAGCAATACGATGTGGTTTTCATTATTGTCTCTAAAATTCTTTATGGTATCAGAGCCTCTATATGATTAATCTCCACTTGATCTTATAGCCTCAGAAAATTCTTCCATACTCTCCTTTAATACTATGGTTCACATGGTAACAATCAAGTTATCATTAACAAATTTTCTTCTTTGGCGCAGTCAGGTAGTTCCCTGCTGCAATGTCAAAAATACTATGGATATATTGATGGCTCAACCCTTATGCCTTCCTCTATCATTGATTCCATAGCCTACAATCTTTGGAAACAAAATGATCAGCTAGTCATGAGTCTTTTTCTTTCTTTTCTCATAGAAGAAGCACTTTCTGTTACCATTGGATTTACAACATCAAGAGATGTCTGGAATGCTCTTAAAACTACCTTTAGTCACAAATCTAAGGCTCGTGAACTTCAAATAAAAGATGAGCTTCATCTCATGAAGCGTGACTCTCGTAGTATCTCTAAGTACTCTAGAGTATTCAAGGCTTATTGTGATCAATTAGCGGCAATAGGATGTCTAGTTGAACACACTGAAAAAATGCACTGGTATTTGCGTGGTCTAGGCCACGAGTTCTCAAGTTTCTCCACCACTCAACTCTCTTTAACTCCCATTCCAAGTTTCAAAGATATTATTCCTAAAGCAAAAAAGCTTTGATCTTTTCTCCAAGTTTATTGATTATACTGCAGGTGGCCCCTCTGTTTATATGGTTCATTCCTCTAGATCTTCCAACCGACATGCAAGGCCATATAATAATCAGAACAGGTATAAAGAAGGCCACTCAAAGGGAGGAAATCATGGACTCCTATGAGTAAGTATCAGAACATCACCGGTCGAAATTCCCAACAGGAGGCCCCCTCGATGTCAAATATATCGAGAAGAAGGTCATTATGCCATGAATTGTAAGATAAGATACGCAAAATTCGATGCAAACATTGCTGAAGCACTTGCAACTTGCACTATCAGTAACGACACAGCAGATTGGTATACTGATATAGGAGCATCTGCACACATGACTCCTGATGTGTCTCAGCTTGATAAAATGGAACCTTACATTGGTAAGAATAAAGTTATTGTTGGTAATGGATCTTCCCTACCTGTTACACACATGAGTTCCTGCTCTCCTACTCCAACTCTTAAATTAAAAAATGTCCTCATTGTACCAAACTTAACCAAAAATTTGCTTTCTGTCAGTAAATTAACCAATGATTTTCCTTTTGCTATTTTTTTTACTGACAATAAATTTATCATACAGAATCTTCAAACTCAAAAGGTGGTGGCAAGCGGTGATCGTGCAGATGGACTTTTTGTACTGAAGCGTGGACACCATGTTTTCTCTACTATCATTAACAAGCATAATTTATGCAATTCCTTTGACATTTGGCATGTCTGTTTAGGCCATGTATCCTCTCAAATAATTTCTATGCTTAATAAGAAAAGGTTTTTTTTAATCTCTTACCTCTATATTGCCATATCCATCCTTATGTGTTAGTTGCCAAAAAGCTAAAAGCCATAAACTATCTTTTCCCCTAGGCATAGTCATTCTCAAATAGTTTTAGGATTAATACATTGTGACTGATGGGAATGAGCACCAATAAACTCAATCTCTGGCTATCGATATTATGCTATTTTTTTTTATCAATGATAACTTTTGTTTCACTTGGTTCTATCCATTAAAGCACAAAGCTGATTTTTATCACACCTTCATCAAATTTCAAACACTTGTTGAAAATCAATTCTCAATAAAGATAAAAACATTCCAAAGTGATGGGGGAGGAGAATTCATAAGTACCATTTTTTAGTCTCACTTAGACAAATATGGTATTCACCATCAACGTTCTTGTCCCTATACACCCTCTCAAAATGGTAGAGTCGAGAGAAAACAACGACATATCACTAAGACAGGCCTTACAATGCTCTTTCATGCAAATGTTCCTCTTAATCTTTGGGTTGAAGCCTTCAGTACAGCTGTTTTTACAACTAATTCCTTGCCCACACCTGTCTTGAATGGAGTTTCTCCAATTAAAATTCTATATGGTAAGTCTCTTACCTATGAATTATTTCTCATTTTTGACTGCTTATATTTTCCATACTTAAGAGATTATACTAAATATAGATTTGAACCCAGAAGTCTTCCATGTATTTTTCTTGGTTATAATTCATCTTATAAAGCATTTTGATGCCTATATCCTAAGTCACATCGAGTATTTATCACTCGACATGCTCAGTTTGATGAAACAGTCTTTCCATCATTGTCATCTCATATGCAGCCTTCTCCTGCACTATAAGATTATATTTCTTTTCATGATCCTAGTTCCTTAACTTCTCCTTTGTCTAGCACTCATTCTTTTGTAGGTTCTCGGTCCTTACCATCAATCACTCTATCTATACCATGTAAATCATGTGCCTTACAGTTGTCTCAGAGTCCACCAATTTTGCTACCTCCTGTGTCTCCTACAGTAGCTAAAAGAGTTTCAGAATTGCCTATTGTGCCTACTTCCAGAATTGAGCCAATTTCAAATATACCAATTACACCGGCTCAACATTCTTCTTCAAATTAGAACTTTTATCCCATGTTAACCAGTAGAAAAGCTAGTATCTCTAAATCCAAACATTATAATTATGTTCGTCAAATTCTTGCCTCTCCTTTATTATCATCGCTATTAGCTATGGAGGAACCAAAAGGATTCAAAAGTGTTGCTAAATCACCCGAATAGCTAGCTGCCATGGATGATGAAGTTCGTGCTCTCACTCATAACCAAGCATAGGAACTAGTTCCCAGACCACCTGCTACCAATGTGGTTGGATCCAAATGGATTTTTCGGATTAAATATCATTTTGATGGCTCTATTGATAGGTTCAAAGCACGCCTAGTTGCTCAAGGTTATACTTAACTCCATGGACTTGATTTTCACGACACATTTAGTCTGGTTGTTAGAGCTTCTACAGTTTGCATTGTCCTCTTTATTGTAGTAACTCGTGGCTGGAACATACGTCAACTTGACGTCAAGAATGCTTTCCTTCATGGTCTTTTTTTAGGAAGAGGTTTTTATGGAACAATCACCTGATTATATTGACACTTCTCATCCACATCATGTTTGTTGTTTAAAAAAAGCCATCTATGATTTGAAACAGGCACCGAGACCTTGGTTTCATTGCTTTAGCAATTTTTTATTCATAATTGGTTTCACTTGCAGCAAAGTAGATTATAGTTTATTTGTTCATTCATTAGATAATGATATCATTTATTTACTGTTATACGTGGATGATATTATCATCACTGGAAGCAATGTATCTCTCATTAACACTTTCATTTACAAGCTCCAGCAGGAGTTTTCTATGAAGAACCTTGGCAATCTATATTATTTTTTGGGTTTAGAAGTCACTCAATCTCCACAAGGACTGTTCCTAAACCAAGTGAAGTATGCAAGAGATATTCTCATTAGGGTTGAACTTCATGATTCGAAGCCAATAACAACACCAATGATTGTTTCTCATTATTTAACTTCTGATGGTCCTCTATTTCATTCACCAACAACCTATCGATCTCTTGTTGGACTAGATATTACACATGTAGTAAATTCAATAAGCCAATTCATGCATGCACCAAGAGAATCACATCTTCAAGCCGTTAAACGATTTCTCAGATATATTAAAGGCACTCTCCATTTCAGCCTCAACATCAGTTCATCAAGTCATCTCAATATCTCAGCTTTTTCAGATGTTGATTGGGCTGGTTGTCCAAAAACTAGTCGCTCAACATCAGGGTATGCAATTTTTATAGGTGACAATTTGATTTCATAGACCTCTAAAAAGCAGACCACAGTTTCTAAATCTTCAATATAATAAGAATATAGAGCATTGGCACTCACTGTAGCTGAGGTTAAATGGTTGCTAAACATTCTTCATGATTTGCGTATTCAGCTACCAGCACAACCGACTTTACTCTATGACAACACCAATGTTATTTTCATGACTAGGAATCTAGTAGCTCAACGAAAGTCTAGACACATTGATATTGATGTTCATTTTGTTAGAGAATTAGTCTACAATGGTATATTGACAGTTAACATGTGCCCTCCACTTTGCAAATAGCAGATATCTTCACTAAAAGTCCATCCAAATTTCTATTTCTGCTGTTTCGATCCAAGCTTCGCATGTTGCCAGCTACGCTTAACTTGAGGGGGGATGTTGGTGATAATAGCACATTACACTCTGGAGATAATCAAGGCAGCAGTCAACTAGAAAATCACTCATAGTATCAAAGATCAATTGACACGACTAAAAGATTGATGTCTTCTCCCAAGTGTAGGAGTGTCGAAGTAATAAATAACCCGACAAGACTGAGGTCGAATCACATGGAGGTTAATTGTACAAATTATAAACAACAATTATAAACTACAATAATAACAATAACAACAACAACAACAACAACAACAACAACAACAATAACAATAACAATAACAAAATAGAAAAATCATCCATGAAATCTCAAGAAAATGTTCAACCATATTACTAAATATACTAAGCATGCATCTTTGAAATGTGGCTGGTGCATTACATAATCCAAAAGGCATCCTTCGATATGCAAAAGTACCAAATAGACATGTGAAAGTAGTCTTCTCTTGATCTTCCAATGCAATTTTAATTTGGTTGTATCCTGAATAGCCATCTAGGAAACAATAAAATTCATGACCTGCAACTTTTTCTAGGATTTGATCCATGAAAGGTAAAGGGAAATGATCTTTTCTAGTCATTGAATTAAGTTTCCTATAGTCAATGCACATGCGCCAACCAGTAACAGTCCTAGTGAGAATTAACTCATTGTTCTCATTTGTTATCACAGTGACTCTAGACTTTTTTGGTACAACTTGGGTAAGACTTACCCATTTGCTGTCAGAAATAGGATAAATGATTTCATTATCTAGAAGCTTAATGACTTTATTTTTCACTGCTTCTTTCATATTAGGATTTAGCTTTCGTTGCATTTCTCTAAAGGATTTAGCATTTTCCTTCAAATAAATTCTGTGTGTACAAATCAAAGGACTAATTCTTTTTATATCAGCTATGGTCCATCCTAATGCATTTTTATGCATTTTCAGAGTTTGTAATAACTTACCTTCTTGATGTGCATTAAGTTTGGAAGAGATTATTACCGGAAAAGTTTCATTTTCTCCCAAAAATAAGTATTTAAGATTGGATGGCAACGACTTCAAATCAGGTTTGGGTGGTTGAACACTTGAAGGTATGGACTTAATTGATCGTGGTGGCAATTCCTTAATTTATGGCCTCCAATTACTTGTCTTTGATTCTTCCTGAAAATAAATCATTTGCAAATCATCAGATTCATCAATCTCAATTTTACTAGAAGTGGTTGGAAATTGATCATGAATTAATTTTTCAGTAAAGTCCACTTCCTGTAAATCATTATCATCTCTAGGTTGCTTGCAAATGTTGAAAATATTCATCTCCAATGTCATGTTTCTAAATGATAGCTTCATCAATCCATTCCTACAATTAATCAATGCATTAAAAGTTGCAAGAAATGAACGTCCTAAAATAACAGGAAATGAATTACATTTTTCAACAGGTTGTGTGTCCAAGACAATAAAATCCACAGGATAAATGAATTTATTGACTTGTACTAACACATCTTCAATTATTCCTCTAGGCACTTTTATAGATCTATCGGCAAGTAAAAGAGTTATAGAAGTTGGTTTTAACTCACCTAAATTAAGACTCTAAAAAACTGAATATGGAAGTAAATTCACACTAACACCAAGATCAAGTAAGGCTCTTTTAATTTTATGTTCTCCAATAAAGCAAGAAATTATAGGACAACCAGGGTCTTTATATTTCAAATCATTATTATTATGAAGAATGACACTTACTTGTTCGGCTAAAAAGGCTTTTTTTTCACATTCAGTTTTCTCTTCACAGTGCATAGATCTTTCAAAAATTTAGCATAAGAAGAAACCTGTTTAATAGCATCCAACAAAGATATATTGATTCTTACCTATTTGAAAGTTTCAAAAATTTCAGAGTTGTGATTGATTTTCCTTTGTTTGGTCATGGCTTGAGGAAATGGAAGTGCTGGCGGAGAATTAGTCTTTTCTTTGCAATTTTCATATTCAACCCCTTCCTTACCCTCAGAGATTGACTCATCATCTTTCTCATAAGGTTCAAGAGAGGGTGTTTTAATAACCTTACCACTGCGAAAAGTAGTGACTGATTTGACTTGATTCATGTGTTGGCTTTCAGAACCACTTGCATTTGCAATATATTGCCCCTTGGGATTTTGTTGTGGTTGAGATGGAAACTTACCTTTCTCTTGGAAACTGAGAGCAGATGTTAATTTTGCAAGAGTATCTTTAAAATATGTCATGTTTTGAGCAAGTTGAGTATTGATTGTCTCTTGCTTTTCAATGAATGCATGCAATATTTCCTCAAGATTTCTT